GCACTCGTGCCGGCTAAAAAGCAGTCACTAAAGCTTTAGGCCCACTACTAAGAGCGTGCCTCTGAGAGTCGCGTAGGTCAAGTTGGATCGAACCCACTAAATCTGGTTCTATTTCCTTTACTATTATTGACATAATCAACTGACTGAACTCTCATTACATTTTTTCTATTAATTATTTGTTTCCGCCTGCAAATATAAACCAAGATACTTTTCTCTTAGTTAACAAACACATTAAATATCCCAACCAACCCCCCCCCCCCCCCCCCCCCGAACCGTGATGACGCCCACCCCCCAACCACGCACAGACCCCCCCCCCCCCCCCCCCTCTTGGTTAGCATCGAGACTAGTTCATAAGGGTTTAACATCCCTGACAAACTTTTATAATCTACCTACTTTCAAGGAGACCTCATCAATATCCTCTACAAAAAAAATTCAAACTTCTCAAATGACTTCTCAAAAATTATTAAAGATTTTCTTACAACAACGTCTCTAAAAAAATAAGGGATTAAAAGTTGAGTAGCAATCCACTCTCCACTCAATCCCTTAAACCATGCATTCAAAGATAATGTTATTAATATTATATGCAGCCTTGCCAATCAATATTCATTTTGTGATACATGGATCATCCAAAGGGCTAAAGCTAAATGACTAAGGAATCATGAAAATTGCATCAAATGTCTTTATGGAAAATAGCATGAAAAAAAAAATAGCAAAACCACATTAACCAAATAAACATTTCTAAAGTCTCCCTCTCATCTCTGATTGACATTGGAGTTGTAGCAGTACCCCACATTCAAAACATCTTTAACATAACCACTCAATCTCACCAAATAAAACTTGACCTCGCCCCAAACAAAAACATCCCTCCACACCTTATTGCATTCCTTTTTGCTCTCATCTTCAATGAACAGATCAAGGAGATGATTTTCTTCACTCCCTAAAGCTCAAACCTTGGATCTAATGGCTTGACATTTGAATTCGTCTCAACATATTGAAATATTGTTGGAAATTAAGTGTGCTCTATCACACAATATTTTTTTCTAGGAAGAAATTGTCTAAAAATTTTAAGGTCACCAGGAATGCTTTTATTCCTAAGAAATTTTATGCTAATGAATTATCTAATTACAAGCCAAGATCTTTATGCAATACTTTTTAAAAATTTTGGTCAATAGATTAAAATTTGTTATTCCTCACATTATCCATCCTAGCCAAGTCGACATTCTTCAGCAAAAAATATCTTCTGACAACATTATTTTGACAAATGGAATTCTTAATGAGATGGACTATAAAAACCAAGAAAATTTTCTTTATGCAAAACTTTATATTTGAAAAGTTTTTTATATTGTTAACAAATATTTTGTCCTCAATAGAATGAAATGAAAAAGGCCTTTCTCCTACTTTTATTATTTGGATTGGTGGTTGCATTTTTGTTATTCACTACTCTATATGCCTCAATGATGTTTTATATGACTTTTTCAACTCCTCTAACAGGTTCAAACATGGCCGCCCCCCTCTCTCTTTATCTATTCTTGTATTGTGATGGTCAAATTATCTAGTTTGTTTGAAACGAAATTTAACAGTAAAGTATATCAGGGTATCAATACGAATAACTACAAAGTCACTATTCTACTTTATGTTGACGACCTACGTACTAATTTTTGGAGAAACTGCTGCCAACAAACTTACACCCACAAATTCATCCTTGTTGAATTTGGGCATGCCTTAGCATTTATTCCAACAATGATAAAAGCTCCATTTCCTTCTCTCATAAGGTAATTAACTCCATCTATCTCCCTTTCCCAACTTGTCAACCTACAAATAAGAAATACTACTATAATTTTTAATGTAAGGTTTAGATTTTCACTATATGCTTATGCTTAAAACCATTTTTTTTTATTTTTTATTTTAATTATTATTATTTTTTTTTCTTATGTTTAAAAACTTTTGTTTCTTCTCATTTAGACTAGCCCATCGGATTGATCTAACGGTCATATTTTATCAACAGATGAGTCACATGCTTCTTCAAATCATTCAAAGATACCATCGGATTGGAAATTATCAAATAATGTCAAAAATAGGTAGTGGGTAGAACTATGCATTATTTGATTAAAATTGGAAAATCAAAACCATCCATCTTATTAGATTTATTTGATTTGATTGTTAAAATATTAATTTGAATATTAGTTATACTTTTTTTTTTTAGTTTTGATTATGCCGAATTATACTAATTTATTTTAGTATTAAATCGATATAATTTATAAAAAAATAACTAAAATAAAGATCAATAAGGATATTATTTATTTCATATGGTAAAATTATAAAATTGATTTTTTTTTCTTAATATATGCAATTTATGCTAATAGTAATTCAATTCATCATTAAAATTAATTATAATTAGGCCTATTCATAACAGAATCAAATTAACTGAATTAAAGTTTTATTTTGTTTGGAAAATAATTTTGTCATGTGACTCTCCCTATCACATGAGTCTCTCTCGGAGATTACCCCCAAGGATAAAAGACATCTTCTTCTACTGATTGACTCACTTTTCTACATTTTAGATTTGTTTTAATAAGGATGATTTTAAAATTATTATAAGAAAAATACATTTTTAAATTTTAATAAGAGTATTATAACTTCCACAATCTAATAATTTAATTTTCAAAAGAAGCCCCTCATAACAAAATTTTTTAATAATTAACAAAAAAAGCAGCACCCTAAACGAATGTTTAATAGCAATCTAAAAAATACATAGAGAAAGATGTGCCAAATAAATCCTAAAATTAATGGTCAATTTGAGATTATTTTCTCGCTGTTTTATCTTTTAGACCATAACTCCAATTCATATTTCATTTGAGATAATTTTATTACTATTTTTAAACAACTTTTCATACAAATATTTCTTAAACTTATATTTTTTTACTAAAAAATCGCTTTTTAAAGCAATAAGAAAACAATTCTAAATAAAACATTCATTTGACTACTGCTTTCCTGTAGCTTTTCAATATATCAAATAATAATAATAATAACCACATTAACTTTCAAAAAAAATTATTTTTCCAACAACTTAACAATCAGCCCTTAAAATAAGATAGACTTTATTTGAAACGGCTTTATTACCGCTTCTTAAAGCATCATATGAAAGAAACACTAAGAAAATATCTCAAATAAAATCTTATATGCAGATTTATTACATATTTGCACCTGAAAATTTTTAAGTAAAATGTTCAAGTAAATAGGACCAATTCAATATAAAAGTATAAAAACTAGTCTCAAATAGAGAAAAAAGTGTCATATTTTTACCAAGACATAACAAGTCAGCTGATCAAAGATCAATCAATCTTTACCAGAAAGATTTGGTAGCAGGTCACCAACAAGACAGATGAAAGCAAAACAAATCCATCTTATACCTCCAAAGATTTGCTAAGGTAGTTATTTTTTTTGTATTTTTTCTGTACACCAAGGTCTAGTTTCTTAAATGGAATGAGAAACAGCAAAAAAAGATAGAAGTTTTTGCTGATCACAGGATAGAGCAAGCCTTCTGTGATTTCTTCCTTTTCTTCTTTTGTTTTGGTGGCTGAAGAACTACCTTGATGGCCGCATCAAATACAGCCTTGACATTCTGAAGAGAAATCAAACAAAGCCGGAAAGTCTTGGCATAAAGAAGGATGAAATGGAGGAAGAGTGTACAGAGAAAAAGGGAGAACCGTACTTGCTGTGTCTTTGAACTGCACTCAATGTATGCGAGGGCTCCAATTGTCTTCCTCAGTTCTTCTCCCTTCAGAATTAGTACAACATTAGTCCGTGCCAAGCTACGTTGGATGAAAAGAAATTTAGTAAGAATCTAAACATTACCTGGGCGGTACTGATGGGAACAGCACCTGGATGATCTACAAAAAACTGTTCATCATCCCGCAGATCTGTAAAATGAACATAACAAGTTAAAATTCAGATGCAATGCCTGTCTCATGAGATGGTATGAAATTCTTGGTCTTTAAATAGTGGACAGTAGATTTCTAAAAAACTTCCATTTAAAAAAAGTTAAAATCTATGCTAAATCATACACCAAATTATTATGTGTTAGCAAATAAGTAGGAGATCATAGACAAACTTGAATTGCAGAAGATCAATGCAAGCAATAATATATATTTATAAACCTGAATCTTTCATTTATCATTGAAAATTTGGTTTAGGATATCATGTCACTTGATGCCGTGAACTTAATAAAAGGGACGTAGTACCTCCTATGACATTGATCTTTCAAATAGCAAGCAAAACCATTCTTAAGATCCAGTAGCATAACACACCATGACATTGTACATACTGCAAACTAGATTCCCCAGCCAACCAATGCCTAACACGTGCATTCATACTTAGGAGCATGTAATTCATTAGAAGTACCAACACATTAGATGATCAAAATGCTACGATGATGTTTCTAAGTAAATTCAAAAATTATGTGCTCCTCGTACCAACAACAGTAATATTAAGTATTTATCCCACTACGTGGGTTCGGCAAGTACTCCTCGTACCATGACATAATTTTTCAAGCAAGTTAAAATTACCATGCCACTCTCCAAATTCAAGAATTAGGTACTCTCCCTCATATAAATCTCGGTGATGAAAATCAAAAGATCATAGTGATGAAGATCAATGTGTTTATACTCAGTAGAAATGTCAATCTAAATTCATCTAAGCAAGTTTTTTAGTAGTCTATTTTATTTTATAATTTTCAATTTTTTGGTATTTTGAACATGTGTAGGATGAATACCTAAGAGAATAGAAAATGGTTTCTATTTATTTGATTCCCAGTGATCGTTAGTTTCTTTGGTTTGGCATAGTCCTGGGTTGGTCCGAGTAGTGAATGGTTCAAGATCCTAGATGGTTTGGCTGGTAAATTATTGTTTGAAGTTAATGTGCAGATGTAAACATTTTTAAGAAATCATTTGTGGACGGTTGACTCTAGATGGTCATTTCATGCTCACACTTAACATGGCGTAGAAGGGCCAAATCATGCACATATTTTTTTCAATCATGGAGGTTCAAGGAACACCTGTTTCTTTTCTATTATGCCAATCAGGGAATAACTATTGGTGAAGCTCCTAATGGGTCACAGGTTTGAATTTAGCGTAGTCTAGATATAATTTTATTTGCAAATTCAACATACTTAATGTTACTTTGTTCATTTTGCTTCGAAATAGTTTCATGTAAGCTATTAAATCTTTTACAAAAGTATTGTAAAATATGAAATTGCATATGAAGGAAGATTAACTATATAAGATCTCTTGGGATTAAAAATATATAATAGGTTACCTGAATCATGAGACTCTTCTTCTATTGATGTCTAGAGCTTGTGTTGAGGGTTTCAATTGATCTTTTTCAGTTGGTTTTATAAGGTATATATTGTATGTAATTAGTAGTGAGATTAGTTTACAGGGTATAATTTGTTTGAGGGTTGGATTGTATGGAGGGGTTAGACCTTTTCAGTTGGGTTTGGAGTAGTGAGATTTATAGTCTTGTCATTAAATTTGAAAAAATAACCTTTCTCACTATCATAATATATAATATTCATACATCAAACAACCATAGTCTCCTCAAAAGTATATGGGCCATATCCATATGAAGCACATTACACCACATATTATCCTCATAGCTTCTATTTTTATAGGTACGATATATTTCCTAGTGACAAGAAGAGATGTCTTGTTCACCTAACCCACATGAAAAGACTTAAGATGTAGTTCAGTCTTTAATTTTTGTAAATACTTGGGTTAATATCATATTCATGACATAGCCTCCATCAATCATTGACTTGCACTTTCTGTCCTTACATATAGCATACATGCTAAAATAGTTCTCTAATCTTCTACATGATTCTAGCTTACAATAAACATTTCATCATACTAACAGGACACTGTTAGGCCCCTCCGGTCCTTACTTACTCTAGGCGGGCCCCACATGGAGTTAATTCAAGGGTTGGATAATATCATATTCATGACATAGCCTCCATCAATCATTGACTTGCACTTTCTGTCCTTACATATAGCATACATGCTAAAATAGTTCTCTAATCTTCTACATGATTCTAGCTTACAATAAACATTTCATCATACTAACAGGACACTGTTAGGCCCCTCCGGTCCTTACTTACTCTAGGCGGGCCCCACATGGAGTTAATTCAAGGGTTGGAGGGAAAATTTGAATGGAAAGGGGGAGAAATTTGAATAGAAGGGCTGTTTAGAGATTTTGTATGGGGATGAGAGTTAAAGAGGGGGAAAGGGGGGAATTAGGTCCTCATCTTGAATTTGAATCAAAAGTTTGAGATCTCATTGTGTGCTTGGGCTCTAGGGTTTGCTAGAGACTTGTGGAGAGTTGTTCTTCCTCTCGAATAGAAGGACGTTGTATCTTTCTTTGTTTTCTTGCATCTACTAGTGAAAACCTTGTTTCTTTTCCTTATTTTTCTCTGTTTGGGTGCATTTCCTGCTGCAGAGCTGCTGTAAAACTGCTGAAACAGCAGTTTTGCTCACTGTTTTGGGCTGATTTTGACTAGGGTTGCTAGCGAACTCAAGTATTACCTTAGGGTTACTTGCGAACTCAAGTATTTCCTATCAAATTGGTATCAGAGCATTGTCTTGGGACTGTTGGAGGCGGAAATCTGAAAATTTCAGCAATTTTTCTTTCCTCCTCAAGAAGTTCTTCTTGTAAAACCGTGGTGGGAAGATGGCCGGAAAGAAGGTTGATGCACTGGAGGGAGAAATAGGCCAACTAAAGGCTGATTTGGAGGAAAGAACCATTGATTTTCACAACCAATTCGCTTCCATTCATGAAAAGATGGAGGGGAGGTTCACTGCTTTGGAGAATATGATGAAGAAGATGCTTGAAGACAAACAAAATCCGGCGACATCGGAAACAAGGGAGGCCACAGGCGGCCATTCAAGAGGAGGAATTCCGAACCCATTAAGGGGGAGGGAGAACCCGGAAGTGGAGATCCTCGAGGGAGATGATGGAATACCTCCTCTAGAACCGCTTTCTAGGGAGGAGATGAGTATGGGCTATGAAAGGAGGGGTGCAGAATTTTTTGGGAGAAGGGACGATGCTTACCACCGTGGTGCTGATTTAGAAAGAAGAAGAGGGGAATGTGATGAAGGGATCGGGTATGATCGTAGGAGGGAAGATCGTGACTACTGGGGAGCACCTCCTCCTAGAGGAATGGGAGGTTATGGAGGAGTTAGGGGACACGGTGGTGACCCGAGAGTGAGGAAATTGAAGATGCCCATCTTTGAGGGCGAAGACGCACATGGCTGGATCTACAAGGTGGAGAGATACTTTACAGTCAATGGGTTGAATGAGGAGGAGAAGTTGACAGCTGCAGGCTTGTGCTTAGAAGGGAAGGCTCTGGCATGGTATCAATGGCGGGACATGAGGCGACCCATTCGCACCTGGAGGGAGTTCAAGGATTGTCTACTAGAACCATGGTTTAAAATTGCGCAATTAGAGGCGCGCCTCAAGGCGCGCCTTTGCGCAATTTCACCAAAAAACGCCTCGAGGCTTACGCAATTCTGGACCTGGATGAGGCGTACGCCTCACCTGGACTGAGGCGCGCCTCAGAGGCGCAATTGCGCAATTCTGGGTGAGGCGTACGCCTCATAGAACCGGCCCCACCCACTTAAAATGTAGGCTTTTCTCCCCTTCAACCCGCACGGCATTCCTCCTCTCCGAAAAAAAGACCTCCCAGCTCTCTGTACGCGAAACTGGACGCGTCCCGCACGGTCGGCCAAGCTTCCCGCCGCTCCTCCCGCCGGCGCCGCCCCTCTCCGGCGAAGAGAAAAGTTCCGGCCACCCTCTAGGAGTACTCCACATTCGATTTTAGGTATTTTTTTTAAGTTTAGGGATTTATTTTGCAAGTTTTAGAGAAATTAGGGTTTAGTTTTTTTTGATTTTTTTGGAATGTATTTGTTTTTTTTTTTAGGAGACATGGTTAGAGGTAAAGAAAAGACGAATACGTCATTGCGGAGGGACCCTTCTTGGAAGTATAGTGTACAAGTTGACATTGGCGGCGGCGAGAAGAGCTATGTATATTTAAAGTGCAACTTTTGTGAGAAAGTTGTGAAGGGTGGAGTAACCCGCATGAAGGAGCACTTATCATGCTCTCACAAGAACGTAGCACCTTGTGCAAAAGTGCCGGACAATGTGAAGGAAGAAATATGTGCTTACATGAAGAAAACTACCACTGTCAAACACTTACAACAGCAACAATTTGATGAAAGGGTCGACCAAGGTGCCTATTTTGGGAGCGAGAGTGGAAAGGGCTCCTCCTCCACTATACATAATAGAGGTGCACGGGGTCCTATGGATCAGTACATGACTACTGAAGGAGCAGATAGAGGAGAAGCAGATATAATCCCTGCAGGTGGTACTAGAGAGGGGCG